GGCTTTTTCCAAAAGTGAAATTTTTTTTATGTCTAAAACCTAAAAAACCTAATTCAATTATGGGGTCAAACATTTCTCTTTCCTTTTTCTTTCTCGATATAGAAATGAAATTTAATAAATTTCCCTAAGTACCGGTTTAAAACAAGCTTTAATTAGTTTTGTTATTATTATAAACCTTTCTTATTAAGAGGGACGATAATATTCTAAAATTTACACACACTACATGTGTACTAAGACTAGAAGAGTAATTGCTCAAAACTACTACACTAGTAGTCCTTTACGAACAATCACACTTGATATAAGTTTTTAATTTCAGTTTAATGAGATAGTCGTTTTTGGTGTGTTGTGCTCTCATAAATCAATTCATTTTCAGTGTATAATCGCAATCGGCCCAAAAGAAAATTTGTACAGTTGTTATGTAAAGGCCCAATAGTGTGGGTGTCTTCAAGCAGCTAAACGTTAAATCCGAAGGCCCAAAATAGATATAAGTTGATACATTGGATTTGGGCCATGAAATCAAGAAAATAAATAAATAAATGGTAAAAGCTCAAGCATGGATGATGCTGCAATTAACGTATACTTACTAAATTACTTGACTGATCTGATGTTGTTCTTGACAGATTACATAACATCTTCCCAAAATTAAAATGACATAAATTAATGAAACACAAACAATGATGACACAGAAATTAAAGGGATGGATCATAATAAATAAAAGTAATACTGGTTGCTACTTGCTACTGCTGAAGAGCTATGGAGAAGGCAAAAGTATGATTTCTCGTTCACATCGATTGCAGAGAAATATATGAGGCACTTGTTCATTGTTTGGTATTCGAACACAAAGCGTATGCTGTCTGACTTCACATATATCACACCCCACCATTCTCTCCCCATCATCTTCCTTGGCACCACAAGGGCAATCCACAACATGCTCCCTCCGCCCACATTCATACATCTCCTGTTTTACAAGCCCTCTCGTATCTTTGTTGCTTCCTTCAACCACAATCTTCTGACCCGCCTCAACCAACCCAAAAACCATATCTGTCCCCTTCGCATTCTTCAAATTTCCAATTGTTTCCACCACAAACCCCCTCAATCCCCAGTAAATCTCCCTGAAATTCCTTTCCACTTCTTTCTTGAGCTCGTCAACTGTCGCATTGTTCTTCAGCGTGAGGCACTCGTAGGGTGGCAATGTTGCATTGTTGCTTATAATCTTATTATAGTTTTGATCATGATCAAGCTCTTCCTGATCGGTGTTAGTTAGCATCACGGTGCAGTAGATGTTTGACTTGCCTTGAAGGCCTAGTTCAACCTCCATAGGCACCTCACCACCACCACAATAATCCTTCACAAGGTACTTGGAGTCAATAATGATCCTTACAGCCATTGGTATGGCTGAAAAGATCCCTGTGCTGCTCAGCTTCTGGTCTTTGAGGATGTGCTTGTACAAGTAGAACATGTCCTTCATTAACTGGAATTTCGAAATCTTGTACCACGCAGCTTTCATTTTAGGATTGTTCCTGAGCAAGCCATCTTGGTTATTAGGGGACACGTGATTGGAGATATCTTCCAAGCAATACTCAAGAACTTTAGTCACCGGGTTTAAGGTGCGGCGAACCAGGTAATTTCCCACAATGTGGTTCCCCAACGACTTCAACACGAAATCTAGCAACCCCGTGTCGCCTATATAGGCACGAGCGGCGTCCCTAACTTCTTGCCTAGACACCCACCTAAACTGAGCCCTCTTCAAGGCCTCCACAATCACCCGAGTGGCCATTTCAACTCTTTTCGGGGACCATCTACAATTTGTTTCCACCGACATTTCCGGGTTATAGGAGGAATCAATGCATGAATTTTGGTCTGTGGGCAGCAACCGGGACTTGAGCTCTAGCATGAAATGGAAAAGGTCACCAAGAGTGACCAAAGAATTGTCTGACAGTGTGTGATACCTTGAGAAGATGAGAGGAATGTCGTGGTTGGAAGTGGCAAGATGGTCGTGGATAAGCAAGCATAAGGGCATGCCTTGTAGTGCTTCAATGGCTTTTTGGTACATTTGCTGAGTGACACAAAAACTTGCACGCCCGAATTTGTAACCCCAACGACCAAACCATGGCTCGCTGTATGCTACTCCATGGATTAGCCTCAACTCCATGCCTCTCTTCTGTGAAACGTCATTCAAACTCACTTTCCTATACGTACCAAATATAATACACTATTGTTCATTCTTTGTTTAGGTAAAACATAAAAAAGATTTTCAGGTATGATATTATTACGTACCTTGCTCGCAATCCGGTGCATAAACGATCCCAAAATTCAAGGATCTGGTGTCCAGCCAAGTCAGAACCGGTTTCCAGCCCATTGACACACAGCAAATGCCCGAAGCCGTTAGAGTGAAACACACCGTGCATCATATGACCCTCTAATTCCACTAAACTATTGGATGAATTACCCACATTACCATTAATTGCCGCCGTGTCTACTAATATGCCCCCATTGCCAACGGAGGAGGAGACTTTGCCACCTTTGCAATTCAGGCAAGCTGCCGCTGCCACCATTGTGTCCGCGGAAGGCAACACAAAGTGGTACTTCTTATTGCAAACCATATGCTGCCCCCAGCCTGAGCTATATACATATCATGGAATTAATTAGCCGGCCATCATATATAGCTAGCTACCTACCACCATATGATTATTAGGCGTGACTCAGTAAACATGGTTACAAATAACAACACACTCTCTTTCAAATTAAATTAAATAGAGCTAGATCGATGGAAGGAATTAGAACTTTACCGACATATTGGCATTGCTTGCAATGGCGATTGAGCGATGCCTCGATAGGTTCTTCAACGACAAAGAGCACGACATGGGCAGGAGCATGGCGATGGACTTGAAGCTGGAATGACCAACACTTCATTCCAGTAGAACTAGTGCTGCATAGGCTACCACCCTCCACATGCCCGTATTCAAGGAGGGCCTTTACATTTTCCCTAAATGACGACCCAACAAGCCCAACTGGGTACCCATTTTCTCCGAAGCTCTTGAACCTAAACACCCTCTCACCTCTCTTCCTCTTCTTGCACCCACTAAAGTCTAAATGGGACGCCATTGTGTGTTGGGTGTTAGCAGGGATCGGCCAGGACAGAAAGGAAGGTAGTTTATATAGGGGCATGGAGTTATATAGAAATAAGTAGAAGAAGAAGAAGAAGAAGAAGCATGATCAAGCAATCTGATTATAACATATATATCTGGACCAAAAACAAATAATATTATTTGAAGGTCATGGTTTGAGGAACCAACCCCAGCCTTAGATATAGTACTGCTAGCTAGATCACGCACGCAATTTGTGCCTGGAAATAAAATTGGGGAGCAGTGAGCACCCAAAAGAGCCTCTTCATCAGGTTATAGGCTTATAGTTGAGTGCTATGTGCATGATTTATTTTCAAAAACAGGCCTTGCAATTCTATCGCGGCAACATATGGAATAAAAGCAGCTGTGGAGTAAATTAAAGGCACCATGCTTTCGATAAGGCAAGTGTTTCAGTTTCACCATTGGTATGACTTTATGCTCCGCCAATTTCTTTGGTCAGCTGGGATTTGCATGTTGATTTTATCTTATGTGCCTAGGGAGGGACAAACATAAACGCAAAATTTCTTGCCCAACTACCCTTTCTTTTAGCCAATTAATTAATTTGCAAGCTTTTTTCCCATGCACGAGAGATCCTTGTTTCTTTTTCATTACTTGAATAAGACCTTTTTCAATGCCTGAGATAAGTCGTTTCATTTTGTTTCATTTGAATAGGCAATGCTAATAAAAATAGATTGCTCCCTCCCAACAATTTTAATTTTTTTTTTTTTCATGAGCTACAATGCACAGTCCTCCTACTACCTTAACAAATCAAAATATTCATGGTCTTTGGATTAAAAGAATTTTGTTGCCCATGCTCTGTCGGCTACGAGCTTTGTCTTGACTTTGAGCTCCTCCTCCCTTGCAGTCTTCAGGTTTTTTTTTTTTTTTTTTTCTTAAGGATCCTCCTTCGGGTTGTGAGGCCCAAGCCTGATTTGAGTTAGTTGTTTTTCAGTTTTGGGCTTGACTCCGTTGTGTATTTCATAGTGCACTGGACTTTAGTAAGCTAAATGTAAGACCCTTTTTATTTTTTTATTTTGTTTTAATACAAGCAATATTAAAGGAGGAGGTTTTCTCACCCATACTACCAAGGTGTCATGGGGTTCGACTATTGGTCTATAAATTAAAGTCCTTTTCCATTGTGCTAGATTGTATCGATGAGAGAAAATAATGGTTGCACAACAAACTTATGTCTACTTCTAAGATTTATAGATATTATTTTGTTGATTTTCTTAAAGCAAACATAGAATTTTTTTTTCCCATATAAACCTTCAATTCCATATTTGTAAACATTACCAAAGCTAAAATACCACATATGTTCTATAAATCATAGGTGGGGTGTCTAATTATAGATGAATGAAATCACAAAGTCATTAACTACTTAGAAAAAGAAAGAAATATATAGAATAAAGGGAAGTGGTGACTCTGCTCAATCTCAAGTCTCAATTACTATTTTTGTACCAAAATAAAAGTTTCAAATATTTTTTTGGTAAATACCACGAGGTATCCCTACACTTAAAGGGTGGGATTAATCCTTGTTCGGGTTCGGCTTGTCTCCGGCCACAAAGTGCTTTCATAGGGTTTTGAACTCCCTACCATTGAGGCATCAGATAACTCACTAGCTGGAAGTGGCAATTTACCAACTCTACCACAACTTGTGGTTAAAGTTTCAAATATTTATTTAGAAAGAAAAAAAAGACTCCAAAATATTTGTCTAAATAAAGAAGGAAAGGGATAAGAATTGGAGTTTTATTATTGTCACATGGCACTTGCCCTTACAAACTTCGGCTGTTGAGTTCAACATATGATGCATCAATATATTTATCCATCCATCAGCCTTTTAGATTTTCCTTATTTTAAAGTGACAGCTATAAGTTTGATAGATACCCCAATTTAGGTTTCTCTCTCTCTCTCTCTCTCTCTCTCTCATTTTTTGGGCTTTCTCTCTCCTCTCTCCTCTCTCCTCTCTCCTCTTTCCTCTTTCCTCTCTCTATCTCATAAGTTTCTCTCTCTTTCTCTCTCAGGTTTCTCTCTCCTCTCTCCTCTCTCCTCTCACCCTCTCTCTCTCTCTCTCCAGAAGGGCAAAACCCTAAAGAGCCGTTTACACCCACCTAAGTAAGTTTTCTCTCTCCTCTCTCTTCTCTCACTATCTCTCTTTCTCTTTCTAAAATTTGAATATATGGGTCCTTGTACTATTAACCTGCCATTTACATTCTTGTGCATATTTATATATTTGAAAGCTTCAAAATTATTATGAATTTGTTATTTTTTCTCCTTATTGTGTACAGATCTCAGATCCCAATTTATCAGATTCGGAAACCCTAATCTGTCATGTTTGCTTTAAGATGGAAATATAGATCTGGGTGTTGGTCTTTTTACTTGGGTTCTGTTTGGTTGCTGAGAAAGTGTAGGAAATGCACAGAAGTTTTGATCCTGGAATTCGCATATTTATTTATTTGGATAGGGAAGGATCTTCATTTTTCAGAAATAAGCCATTAGATGAAAATATTTGCATGCTCATCACAATTGGTCTTTGTTCATTTTAAATTTTTGTTCTTTTGGATCTGAATGAAACTTGGGGATTTAGGAAGGATCGATAGTATTTGTGTTATCCTTCATTTATCAGCTGCCGACAAAATGCTTGATATTTAATTTAATAGGAAGATCCATTTTTTGCAGCTGATTTTGTGTTTACATCTGCCTCTTAGGTCCTACTTTTGTGATTTGGTTGAGCTATGCTCTGTTTCTATCTCCCTATCTCTTTTGTTTTTCGTTTCCATGGCCTCAGAAGGCTATTCGATGGCAACTTTTATTGTTATTCAAAAACTTTCATTAATGGGACAATTCAAAACACAACGATGCTTATTTGTCTGTTCAATCTCTAGATCTCATGGATGATGATGCATTGAACATGCGCAACTGGGGCTATTATGAGCCGTCTTTTAAAGGCCATCTTGGCCTGCAGCTCATGTCAAGCATGGCAGAGCGCGACACAAAAGCTTTTGTCCCTGGGCGTGATCCCGCAGTCATGGTTAGCTCCAATGGAGCCTTTCATCCTCGGGATTGTGTTGTATCCGATGCACCGGTTCCACTGAACTATATGAGGGACAGTTGGGTAAACCAGAGAGATAAGTTCCTCAATATGATGCCTGCCAATCCTAACTATGCTGTTCTGCCAGAAACTTCAGGAGCTCACTCCTTGCAGATCTTACAGCCACCTGATTCGTCAAGGGATGAGAGGGTGGCTAGAATAGAAGAGCCAGTTGCCAATAAGGAAGGTGGCACATCAAAGAAAAGAGGCGGCGGGGGTGCACCAAAAACCCCAAAAGTGAAAAAGCCCAGGAAGCCAAAAGATAATAACAATCCTTCGGTTCCTCGTGTGAAGCCAGCAAAGAAGAGTTTGGATGTTGTGATAAACGGGATTAATATGGATATTTCAGGTATTCCAATTCCCGTCTGCTCATGCACTGGAGCTCCACAACAGTGTTATAGATGGGGCTGTGGTGGTTGGCAATCTGCTTGTTGCACCACAAACGTATCTATGTACCCTTTGCCAATGAGTACTAAGCGACGCGGGGCAAGGATAGCTGGAAGAAAAATGAGTCAGGGTGCTTTCAAGAAGGTGTTGGAGAAGCTTGCAGCTGAAGGTTATAATTTTGCTAACCCAATTGATCTGAGGGGTCATTGGGCAAGACATGGTACCAACAAGTTCGTCACAATCAGGTAGAGTTACTATGTTGGTATTTGGTCTATTTCACCTGTATATATTTCTGTGACCTTTTGCAGAGATCTATCAGATACTTTGTAGTCATTCAATTTTCAGTCATGACGGATGATACTTGTTTCTAAAATTTGGAATTGTTCTTTTGTTTATTTTTCCTTTCGGCTTATGTGATAAGGGCCGAAGTTTCTGGCCATCAGGATTGTGCGGATGAGTTCTCATTTATTGAATTGTTTCTGGATAGTATACAATCTCCGTTTAATCTAATGCTCTCAATATTTGCACTGAATACTCCTTTACCCATTCATCTTTTTACTGGAAAGCAATGTTACCTTATTCCCCCACAACTTTTAGCAAAATACTTGAACTGATCAAAGGGGAATCTGAGATGATTGCCTATATTCCCAAGTATTTGACTAGTTCTGTTGTAGTATTATGTTGTATCTGGATTGCATCTCTGGCGTAGAACTACTAAATTCAATTTAGGATGCTCTACTTATTCGTGTCATGTCTCTTAGTGTTGTCCTGATACAGTGTCGGGCATAGAAGAACCTGGAAACTCTTGTCTATAGGGGCTTAGAGAGGAACATGATGATGATATATAAGGTGATACTAATGGAGAGGGAAATTTGTGGAGGGCTGTGATATAGGTGTATGCAAGAGAAATAGGGCATTAGAGAAGTGACAAGGTTGAGGAAAGGGGTTTAATACTCTAATAATATGCGGACTTTGTTGTGTGTCTTGCAAGTCTTTTACTTTTGTTTCTAACATTGATTGACTGGTGTCTGTAGGAGGAAACTGATAGTTTCAGTTAGAGGTTTATCAGTAGTAGGTTTTTTTGTGTGGAACGTGTCTTTGAAGTGAACTTGTTAATGTGATCAAGGACATAGTTGATAGGATAATTAGTTAAGATGATTAAAGGGACACTAGTGAAAATTACACAAGAGCAGGGCTTTTGTTATAGATGTGTTATAGATGTGTTGAAAAGAGAAACCTTCAGAATATTTAACTTATTACAAATTGTTTGCTAGTGGTTAGATGGACTCAATTGTATAATGCGCAACAAAGAGAGCATGTTGTAATTGGATAGTTGTGTTAGTTTCCCTTCAATACTGATATTTATTTCCTAAGCAAACGATGTAACCTACTTCTACATTTAAGAATGTTTCAAAACGAATGTAATGGAAACGGAAGAAATTTTGTGAACTTAAGATGCAAAGTTTTCTCCAGCGATTCTCTCTCTTTTTAATGTCCAGAACCAAAATCTACCCATTATACTTTAAGCTGAATCTGGGGTCAGTGTTGTGATCCAGATGATGGATGCGAAGTTTGTGAAAAATGGTGGTGGTGATTAACAACTTGACAGTTGGTGAAGGTAAACCGGCTGAACCCGCGAATGTAGGAAGATCTGTTGTTTAGACGGGAAAAGTTTAGTGGCCATAACTTGAGCCAAAAGCTTAAGCAAGACAAGTGACAGCTCAAAGTTATCTCCATACTTTCGTGTTACTAAAATACGAAGTGTACATTCCAAAAATCCAAGGGGAATGGATAATTGTTTCGGAAATGTATTCAGAATATTCGCAAGAGATGAGATGGAGTGAATACAGTTTAGTGTAGTGAGGAAATATGAAAATAAATTAATGCCAAAACTACATGGTGGCCATTTGTTACTTTTTTGAAGGCAACTTTTAGCAAATTTTTTTGGGAGTTTCACTAAAACACCCAAAATGGAGGTTGAAATTATAAAAAAATCCAACACCCAAAACACTTTATAAACACACCCAAAAAGTTGACTTTGAGGTTGATTTTGGGTGTGTTTCTATGTTTAAATAGTGCTTGGGTTTTTTTATAAATACATGTCTAGGATTGGGTTTATTTATAAATTTGTAAATTTTTTTTTGGTAAACTGGAGGGGATAAACCCCGAACACAACAACAAGAAAGAATCAGAACAAACTAATCTAGCTTTCGCTACACCAAGAATATCATCAAGGAGATGAGAACCGATCCAAGCAGGAGCTTCGTCAAAACAAAGGATACCCAGGTCTAAGTTGTAACTCCAGTTTGCCAAACCGTCAGCCACACTATTTCCTTCTCTATAAATACGAAGGAGAGTGCAATTATCAAAATGTTTCATGAGAGCACAGCAGGCATTAATCAGGGAAGCAAATGGGTGGTGAGCCATGCCATCAATATTCTTGACTAGATGGACAGCCACAGCAGCATCCATTTCAATAATAAGGCAGGTTATACCTTTAGTCACAGCAAGCTTCAGGCCAAAATATAACCCTAAACTTTTAGCAAATTTTGAGTTACAGAGGACATAAGACTTCCACGATGAGAGAGAAAAGCTGTCGAGGGCCCAGGACAAGAAAAAAAAAACACTAGTTCATTGGCTCTAATTGTTACAAATTTGTAATGTCTGTCCGATTAAAGAATTCTCTGGCAGAGTAATTTCCTGTTGTGTTATGAAAATACATGATCTACGTGACTTTGTGTATGTTACCTTACCTGCAGTCTGCAGATAATATATCAATATGATGATTAACTTTAGACTTGAGATAAACAGAAAAGGAAGAATGGAGAACGAAGAGAAAAGGGTCAGGAAGAAATCAAGTTAAGAATTCATCTATTGATAATTAATTAATAAGTAAGAGGCCCAAGGGGAAGGATATAAGATCCACAAAAATTGGGAGAGATTGAGCTGCAGGTATTGACGAAGCTGCTGCTGGGGAACAAGGGAATGAAACTTTTCAATATTAATCCAACAACAACAAATCGTCAGAAACTAATCAAATCTGGAAGAACTTGGTTATGTGCAGGTGCATTATAAGGTATCATCATATTTGAAGAGGCTGCAGCAAAAGGGTTTCTGTATTGTGCACCCACAGCACTACTTGGTGTACTTGTTGTAATAGTGGTATTGCTGCTCACATCAGAGAAACCAGTCGCATCTGCGCTGACCCAGCTGATCAAATCTTCTTCAAACACCTCCCATTTGTCTGTGATGATTGTCTGGAAGGCCCTCTTTGATTCCGTTTGCTGCTGATCATAAACCATTATTTTATTTCTACCCCTGCTGCTTTCTCTTTGTCTCATCATCACAATGGCCTTGTCCTCCTCCTCCTCCTCCTCCTGTGCATGATCGACAACACCATTTTTCACGTCTCTGTTTTCGTTTCTCACTGAAGCTTCATTGATTATCCGTTGGAGGTCTCTAATATCTTCTTCCGGAATCTGCTCAACTTTAGGACAATCCGTGGCGCTGAGGATGCCCAATTCCGTGCAAAATTCAAGGTACAAGGAGAGATCTTCTCCTTGAACTGCTGCCTTCTGAACAACCCCAAGCGCCAGCTGTGCCTCTTGCTTGCAAGGAGCCGCGTATATCTTCAAAAGCGTTCGGGCGATCCCTTTGCAAACCCTGCTATACACGTCGAAGATCTCTGTGAGCAAACAAATCATGGCTTCGGAAATGAGATAAACCTTGTTGTTGGTGGTGGTGTTGCTGTTGTTGTTGTTATGAGTGCTGATCGTCAAGTTCAGCTCTGGTTTGATCTGAAGAAGTATGTCAAGCAAAGATTGCCACTTTTGCAATCTCCCGAGCTCTTCCAATAATGCAGGCTCCTCCTGATCGCCCTTGTTCTTCTTGATCACCAACGTACTAAAAAAGGCGGATCTCTGGTCCAAATACGTAAAATAGGCGCGAACCAGGGCATCACAAGCCCATATTTTGGCGGACTTGGAATGGCCGTCGGAGAAATTGGAGAGATCAAAAGGCAGCCTGCCAATCTTCTGAACGGATGGGATTTTGCAACAGAAAACGCCATGCATGAGCATGAGGCCTTTGAGAGCGACAACCCAAGAGCGAGTCTTGTCCATGCGGGTCGAGAGAGCCCAAAGGAGGGGCTTGAGGTACAGAGGAGATGTGCGCACCCATTGGTAGACTCTGTGGAAGTTCTTGTAATCGACGTGGGTTTCGTCGTGGCTGGTGGCCTTGATGATGATGGCCTCGAGATCCGGGTTCCGGTACGAGGTCCGTCTGGAGATGCTGGCCACCCATATGCTGTTCCGGTCTTTGATAAGCCCGGCAGCCTTTTTCCACAGTTTCATTTTCATTTCCCTCCCTCTCTCTCTCTCTCCCTCTCTCCCCCCCTCTCTCTCTGTTTTTACCTACTCTATTCTAAATGGTCGGTTCCCGGCAGATTCTCAAGCAAATCAATCCTCTATTTTAGCTCTCTCTCTCTCTCTCTCTCTCCTCTGCTTCAATTGTGTCTTTGTGTGTGTCCTTTCTTACATTCTTTTAGTTTTTTTTTTTCTTCTTTTAATTTTCCCTATTTTAGGTGCACGTATGTACGTGTGCGTAAATTAGAAATGAAAATCTTTTTTGAGTGATTTTCCTAAAAAGAAATGAGTGATGGAATCTCAAGAACAGAAGAGCACCAAGGCTGTAGCAGCTGTTATTGGGACCAGAATAAGAAACATCTAGAAATTCTTTTTACTGATGCGTTGTTGGATTGGACTTGTTCAAAGGTTGGTTATGCTTCCTTGCTGGCTGCCTCTATCTCTCTATGTCTATGACCATGAAGAAGCTTCTTAAATTAAAAGGGCTAACGCGCTTTTATTTCATTTGTAGCCAAAGGAAAGGACATTTACAGCAAAGGCCAGAGAGGGAGATATGATGATAATTATAAATTTATAATGATTGAAATCAAATAATAAAGTTAAACGGAGTGCAGCGGATGAGGTTCAGGATCGATAGACAATTCATATATAATCCCTAAATTAAAAAGAAAATAAATGAGGTGAGCTTTGACCCTCGACTCAAGTCCAAGCCCTCTGTTTTTTTAAGCCTGCAGAAGATATTAATTTATGGTCGCTGATCCAGCTTAATAAAGCATTGGGCTTACTTTCGGCCCAAATTTGAGGCAAAGGCTCAAATCTTATTTGTTGTTTTGGATAAAGTGAGAGGATGTAAAAGCCCAAATGTTATGGCTAATTGGAGCTCCCTTAAAGAAAAATGAACAATTGAAGAGAAGAGTTGATGAAGTTGACAGGATTAATTAAAGAAAAAATTCACGAAGTTGGTCATTACTGCTGCTAATTCATATTTCAAATTCAGAATTTGTGACAACTTATGATATCAAGAAGCATGTAGTACTATTACTAACATGCATGCATAAGACAATGACAGTGACAGTGACACAGTCACAGAACAGAAGTAGATGAGACAACAAAATCTTGAAATGATGAGATTGTGAGTCAGCGAGGGAGCAAATTGCTTTTTTGTTTCTTTTAGAAAACAAGCAATTTGCATCGAAATGATTGAACAAATGAAGCGGCTAACTAGCCAGCTACTAGTAAATTAATTAAAGTGTGCATCTCGTGCTTTCTACCTGTGAGTCTGTCTGTGTGTGTGTGTGTGAATGAATGTGTTTGCTTTCTGCTAGTATAGGATACGGATCTTGGCAAATAAAGCAACATAGCTCATCTCTCTCTCTCTCTCTTTCTCATACGTTTCCTTTGCTCATGTTCTGCAGACCAATGAAAAGCACCAAGTAGGAGATTGTAAGGTTTTTTTTTTTAATTTTGTTTAAAAAAAGGATTTAACTAAGCAGAGGTAGAACGTACTGTGGTTTTTGTTTTTGTTTTTTTGTCGAAAGAACGTACTGTTGCTTTAAAGAAACAAAGTGAAAGAGAGAGAAAGAGCAGCAATTAAGGGGAAGGGGAGAGGGGAGGGCCCAAACCACCCCCAATAAAGAAAAGAAAAGAAAAGGGGTAAAATAAAGTTAGGACGTTGAGGAAATCCAAAAAGACGAAAATGGTGGGAATCTTTCTTTCTACTGTGCAAACCATCCCACACCGCCACCTCTCTCTCTCTCCCCCTACAATACAAGCTACTTGCTACTCCTACTCCTACTTTTCATTCCCTCAGCTCTCTTTTCTATCTTTCCCTTCTCTCTCTCTCTCTCTCTCTCTCTCTCTCTCACACACACACACACACAAAATTTCTCTGCCTCTTTCTGGCATATGCAACAACAACAACACTACTATGAACAACATCTCTATGGGATTTTCATGTGGGGATGATTTTGTAAGTGCCCTCGCTTTATCTCCCTCCCTCTCTCTCTCTCTCTCTCTCTGAAAGATTTCCATTCCATACACTGTAAATAATGTATTTGGTGTGTGTGTGTGCCTGTTTGTGGGGTACATTCTATAATCTTGTTATTTAATTTGATTTAATCTTGTTCCATTTTAATTAGGAAGGAGAGGAAAGTGAAGTTGCGCTTTTAGATGAAACGAGGGAGAAGCAGCAACACAGCAGCTGGGGATGTGGTATGGAAGCTCCTCATAATCATGTGCAGCTTGAAGTCGACTTCCAGTTCTGGCCAGTAGAACATCCTTTAGAGCCACCCGATGAAGATCGCCCTGTCAAATGTCCCATGCCCGACTCTTCTGTTATCAATGTAAGCAAGTTTCATTATTCATTTATTTCACCTTACATACACATATTTGCTTAAACCAGAGAATGTTTCAAATGTGTAGTGGCACATGCAGCATCAAATGTTCATCTTATATATATGTATGCATTTCTTACTACATATATATATGTACAATTTTATGATGAACGTTTTCTCATACTTGTTTTTTCATATATTTTTCGTTTAGTTAGTGTAGATCTTGATGTAAGAAAATAAGCACCCTAATGAGCTTTTGAATTGCATGTATACATAAATAACTTATGTAAGCAGCATTGCATTTCAACATTTTGTAGGAAATTTGTTATTTTGTTGTTCCAATATGAGATATAGGTCGATCTTACGAGTTTGTCATGATATACTGATGAACTACATGCATGGAATTTGTACAAAAATTCTGAGGCATATATGTAACCCTTGGTAGTGTTACATATGCAGATTGATATTGTCTCATGTAAAATGCATTTACAGGACGGAGGAAGGCAGGAGAAAAGGTCGTCAGAGAGCAGCGCCATGCGTAAGAGAACAGAAGTATCATCTGCTGCTGCAGCAACTTACAGCAAACCAAGAATGGATCAGATGGTGGTGGCAGTGGCGGAGCCGCCTCCTGCTGTTCGAGCAGTGCGTAAGAGGCATCACAACACTCTCACCCGTGGCGACCATATGATATCACCGCTAAGGCGAATGCCACCCATTCCTTCTCTCCCAACCCAGAGCATTACCATCTTTCAAATGCTTCAGCAGTTAGACAAGTTCGAGTCTTGATTGACAACCTATTATTGATTATTGATTACTGGGTGATGAGAAAATGGTCCTGAATCTTGATCACATATATTGTAGCTGATATAGAAAGCAGAAATGTAGCATGGACCTTTTCTACTTTCATTGGCGTATGTTCAGATTCTATTTCTTGTTACTTAGGCAATTACACTGAGCTTTTGCTTCACCTGGACCTCTGCTCAGTAAGTCCCTATGGCAATTTCAACACAAGCAGAAAAACTTTCTTGTAACGGGGATAACATTGTTTTGCTATCCCCGGCCAATAATGCAATAACACGTGAAAAAGTTATTCCGCTTGTCATTGCGCTATTGGCCGGGATAGCAAAAAGCTATATCCCCGTTGCATGAAAGTCCATCTCCAAGACAAGGCACATAAGAGAATGCAAAAAATTGGAAACACGTCCAGAACCGGAACTTAAAGCTAGAACAAATAAAAGCCACATTCAAACCACGCATTCCTATGCCGCCAATCAAGAACAAAAAGACCTTTCAAGCTGTCCAACAGAGCCTCAGGAAAAAGCATCGCCCCCCCAATTGAAGGACGAATTAGCATAAACAATGGTCAGTTTCTTCTCTGTCATTAAAGAACGCATCTTCGCGGCATATATAAAGTCATTTTAATATCAAGCTTTATATTTGTGCAGTTCTAAAACCAGCTAATCCAAATCAGGAGAAGCAAAATATATTGAGCAACTGTAATCTCATAATTGGCAGTTAACAAAAGCATGTTGATTCTCCAATACGGGGAAGGAAAAAAGAGCATGTTCACCACCTTGTCTGGATCATCGTCCGTAAAGATCATGAATTCACCCTCTGACATTACCCAGAACGAACAGAGGCAAGGTTAACCACGTTCTTCTTTACTTTATCTACATGTCCCTTTTTCACACTCACCGTACAATTATCAGCCGTGGCACTAGGTGGACAAGGAGATAATTGCAATTTGACTATTGTACCTGTGCGGTACATTTGGATTGACTTTCGCGTCCCAATTTCTAAATCAACTTTCATTCAAAAAGAGAAATACATAGGGCAACTCCCATGCCTAGTATCAATGCAGTTAATTGGAATGCCGTGCTTTTCAATGATGAGCTGCCATTGTTCATTTCTGCAAGCACTCCAGCAACAGCAATGTATATAAATCCACCAGCTGTAAAACCCTGAAAACAGATTCAACAAATTAAAATACATTTACTTCAGATCATGAAAACCAAATGTTCAAACAACACATTCTTGGGCTAGATTCTTGTCACCTCAATCAAAGATGACTGTCCTGGATTCTTGCCCAAAAGCAGAGCCTGCATCAATAGCAACAGATTAATCTCTTTTTTCAATCACTGAAGATACTAATTAAAATGGAATAACCCTGCTGCAGAGATAATAATCTACCATTGCGGTTCCAACTAGTGCCACAAGTGCTGAGAGAAAGTTGAAAAACAGAGCTTTGGAGACGCTGAAACCAGACCTTACAAGAATACCAAAATCACCAACCTGAAACAAAGGTAAATCAGGCTATAATATTAGCCCATCCACCATAATATGAGCCCTAATCCTACTAATACACTTTTTCGGCAACATATTGGGGGGACCAGGGAGGAGAGGACACTTTGCATCATGGGGATTAAATGCTTAGCGCAAGATAATATGCTCATTACTGCCAATCCAAAGATCACCAAACTTCTACCAAAAAAGTTGCCACCCATACTCCTATAGCGAAATTCAGACTTGAGAGAAACTCAGTAACAAATAACATTGCTGAATTAACTCTTAAAGGAACACACTCTCTTACTAGACAAAGATAACATTTCCTGCATGAAGAGGGCTTACGTTTATTTTCCATAACATAATTAATCAGCATGTCTCGATACAGTATTAACACTGCCTCTTTGACATAGGAAGACGTTGATGCCCTTGCATTAAATGAACAAAAAAAGAGAGCTCAAACCTCTTGAGGAATCTCGTGCGCAAGCAAGAATAGAGTTCTAGACCACCCACCGACAGATCCATGAAGCAGAAAAGCACTTCCTAAAGCCATCCCATCTGTAAAATTGTGCTGCAGCGGCAACAAATCTTTCAATAAGATGAGAAGGCTTATCATGAATCATGTTTTGTTTAAAATACAAGCTTGATTGCAAATAAGAAGAAAAACATACAACACCATCAGAGAAGAGATTGAGATAACCAAACACAAGATTTGATGGTGATCGAGTAGGTTCTCCATCTGAGGACTTAGCGTCACGGTTGGAGTCATCTGCAGCAGCTACATCTTGTTTATCACCAGTCGTAATGTTTCTCTGCCAGATGGAAATATGCCAATACTTCAATTGCAGTCCAGTAATTAAACTTTATTAAGAAAATTAGATTGGGCACAGAATTCAGATATTTCTTTATTTTTATTATCCAACACAAAGCTTATTCAGAGACTTCTGTACAAGATGCATATAAACGAAGGTGGAACACAAAATTTATGAAGTTGGAAGCCAAATCAATATGCGAACTAACTCACCTTACGAATATGAGAGTCATGTTGATTATTTTCCATCAAAGAATCATTTGAAACTTCAGCTGCCGCTTCTTCTTCAGATGACATCTTCAGCTTCCTTCTATCTTTTCCACTGGAAGATTCTGACTGCAAGTCATCATGAGAATCATTATCATCCTTCAATTTCTTGTTGGTCTTATGATGATGGTGATGATGACCATGACTCCATGCACTACTTCCTCCAGAGTTTTCCTCAACATACCTCACCAACTTTTCTACCAGAAGAAATAATACAATTCCCGCTGCAACAACAAATATGGTAATAAGGCATTGAATAGTGTCAAAAGAAAACACTTTTCCATGTCTTCTGTTTTTTTTTTTCACTGGTTAAAAGAAATGGCGGCAAACAAGACAAAAAATTTCCTTGATTTTCTAGCAGGGGTAGAGATTTTGATGGAAATTCTACAAAGACAAAAGTATCAAACAAACCAGAAACAGAAATTTATAGAATACATGCCAACTCAATTTTTAAAATTGAATTAATAAGTCGAACCAATTAAGAATCATATAAAACCCAGTATTGAAATCACCAGCTATCTCCTTTATTCTTTTTTTTCTTTCACCTTCTATGTTAGTATGGGAATGCAGACCAGTTTCAAATATCATGTCAGAAAGCACTACTATATAGCAGACACATGCGCACGAACAATCATAAATATAGCCACGGACGCATAGGTAAGCACATCTGCGCACCGACAGACATGTATTCATGCAGACATACAGAGATGCATGGTTAAGACAGTACTAACCCAGGATGGATAATCCTACAGAAAGATCTTTCAAAGAATGTGAATGTGAATGCTCATGTCCAATATGATCATGATGGGAATGGCCTACATGGTCGTCGTGTGAGCTGGAGTGTCCTCCACCTGCAACAAATATTATATTATGGGTAACAGACAACCAAAATATAAAGATTAATGTCGTATTGGATTAATGACAAACCAAAAGCATGTGGTAATTGATGAAGGAAAGCATCTCCTAACATAGCTCCAGCCTGCAAATGAAATTCAAATTCCATTATCAAATTCCCGTTCCCATTTCACATACTTTAGCAATCTACATTTTAGGCAACTTAGACAGCAATCAGGCCAGGCATTGACTTCAAGATTCTATGCTATGTTCAGACCTAGGTAAAACAGTGAACGAACTTCCAAAAACCACCAATATATGTACTCAGTTACTTCAATGCAAGAGCTAACGCAATGGTCAAAGTTCTATATAATTATAGAGAAATACTTCACAAAGCCTAAATTTCTGATTTTGAATTGCTGACAGTCTTAACACAGATAACAACTCCCAATTAAACATTATGCAGATATGAAGAAAGAAATACCACTTGAACCTTCAAAAGTAGAACCATAAAGGTCAACAGGAAAATATCGAAAATTTGAAATAGAAAGTTGTGCAAATCTGAATGTGACTCATGATTTAAAGTTCAAACAGAAACATTAGTAAAGAAAAGAAGAGATAAGCAGGAGAAGCAGTAAGTAACTTAGAGTAGACGTATTAAATAGGTACTCAAGAGATGTAAACCATATCAAATTTGACTAATTCTATTAAATAAACAGGGCTGAAGAATCTGACCCCAAATAAAGCCAACGAATCAACAACTGCCTTGGATGGTTTCCCCTGTACTGCAATAATGCAATAAATTCAGTGTTGGTCATTGGGACAGGCTTCTTGAAGCAAAATGTATCACTTAATTAGGGAAAAGTCAATGCTGAAGTCAATAAGAATTTATAAGTAACACATAAGTCACTTACCGAATATTACTGGCAAGATAATCAGGCAAATAAGGGAAGCCATACTCACCAAAAGTGAGCAGCCCAAGGAATAAAACCAGAGACCTACAAAAATAAATAAGAAATAAGAATAAGGTTTCAGGCTCACACATTTGAAATCAGTTCCTTTGGTGTGACACAATACATAAGAAAGAACTGAAGCATGTATTATGGTTATGAGTAATGCTAGGGAGACCACATTGCGTACCACCTCTCTAATAGAGGTAGAGTCCACCTATCCAATGGAACGTACTTCTATTAGAGAGGTGGCAAAATCAAGAGCTCTCTCTGTGCTCTATGCTGATTACATTTTGTTCCATGTTAATAATGGACTCTTACTCCCTTGGGAAATTTGTCACCATCTCATCGTCTATCCTCCAATGTGCACGTAACCGAAAATTTGCTGTACTCACCAAATGCCTTCTTCAAAATTTTCAATTTGTTTCATGCACTTTCTTAGCAACCAAGCAGTAGTGTAATGCAAAAACAATCAAGTGCTTCCACGCATTATACAAGTTTCTGAACAAGACCCAGAAAATAAAAACAAAATAAAAATTCACCGTAAATATAAGTCCATCTAACGTAATTAAAAATGAAAAGAAATACCGGTAACTGAGAGCTGCAAAGCACCAAAATGCTCGTGATCATGACCATGATCCTGGCCATGTTGATCAAATCCAAATCCGTACAATTTCATATCCTCCTCCTCAGCCAATTCCTCAGGAAGCTTTGACCCCAACAAGCTCTCCCCGTGGTGGTCATGGTCACGGTCACGCCCATGATCGCAGTGGTGGTGGTGAGCAGGAGACTCGTGAGCCGCCGATGCACAAGACCCAGAAGCAAAACTCAGATCTAAACAGAGCCCAAGAACCAAAGCAACAACCAAGACCATACCTTTCGGACAAAAAGCCATTTTCTGACAAAACCCAGTTGTCGGTTGAGGTCGGTTTTATTGTACCTATCAAAATTTAAGGTTGCCGTTAAAGACTGGGGTTTAAGGAGCTGTTTGGGCGGAGAGTGGAGACTAAGTAGGACGGCGTTTGCAGGTTCCTTCGATGGTGATAAAACAAACAGCAGCAAAGAAAAGCACGATTATGCCGATTATAATACCGAATGTCACCACATCCATTCCGCTCTTTTATTTCTTTTTCTTCTTTTTGGCCTTTTTTTTTCTCTATCTTTTCTATTTTCCGTTTTTGTTCTCTCGGAGTCCCAAAAGAAGATTCTGACAGCCCACTGGCCTTTCTCACTCACTCACTCCCCTCGAGAAAGTATCTCTTCTTTTACACGCACTCTCTACTCTCTGCTGTCTGCTACTACCAGATTGGCCGCTAAGCAAGTCCACAACTTTCTGCCCACAGTGTTGCTAACCCTATTTTTATTTATTTCATAAACAAGTAAACAATTTCCTAACTCAAACCTAGTAAGTTGGGAAGCACTAAAGGACATGGTTCGAAGGTTGTACGTGATCCCATATCCTGCCCTACCATGAGAGACGGTTACTTACGAAAATGCTCGCTTAGCAGATATTTGCTCATTCTTCATCATGGGTGGCTTTGGTTTCGTATGTTTAATTAAGGTTTTGGTATAATGTTTAATTAAGGTTTTGGTATAATGGCCAATCAAAAAGTTGAACAAGAACAAACAGAAAAGCATGTTCACTGCATACAGATTCCCAGGGTTTGCTTTGCTTTGGGTAGCGAGACAAATTGAACAAATTGCAGAGATTACAGATTTCTTCACTATTTCTTTTCCAGGAGCAGCATCACTACTAAGATTCTACAAACATCCATATCTTCCAAATATACCAGATTCACCCACATGAAACGGGTAATGGTAGCCACCAAAGTGGAGCTCCATATATACACGTGAAACCGTGAAACACAAGCAAAATCCACAAGGGACATGGTCAACAACACTACTATAACACTCCCATATTTAGTTCCTCTATATTGACTTGCAAGTCCTAAAGTTAACGAGTAATTCCAAGACCTATTACCTAGCAGAGTCGTCACCTCTCTTTCCATGTAATCCTAAGAAATTACAATCATAAACTAGTAACCCCCTCCATATTCACAAGGTTTCTGCTGCTTTAAGTGAGTGTAAGTTCGTCTAGCTTGTAACAGCTTCCTGTTCCTGCAAGAATACCACCAAATTCCAGGTCTAATCAGATAAACTCGAGAAAAAGATTCACGCAAATGTGGAGACCGCTGAGGGAGCAAAATATTTGTTGCCAACACATAACTTCTGAGATTGCATATGTAGAGTGCAATTGCAAGAATTTCTATTAGCACATTCACTAGAGTGGTGGCATAAAATATCAACAGCATAAACAGTGGGGAAAGTTGATGATAACAAAACATTACCATTTCCAATAATTAAGATCAATCATGAGGGGGCGATCCCAGCACAGAACCACAAACAGATGCATATGACATTGTATCTTCTTTTGAGACGGCCACAAAGTTCAGTGGTGTAGTAGACAATCTTCTCATTTCCTTGAAATATCCATTTTGCCGCCCAGAGTAAGATCGGGGTGTTAAGAGCTCAGGAGTTCCGCTGCCAACTGAATTCCGACGAGGTGTAGGGGTCATTGATCCATTCCCATTTGAGCGATATCCATTTGGCTTCCTAAAGCTGGTACTTTTTCTAGGACTAGGTCTAGACCCATACATGGCTTCTTTCTCTGTGAGGAGCAGATCTTGGAGCTTCTTTTGGTCCTATAAATGAAAACAACGTCAAAGATATCATCCATAAGATCATTTCAAAACATAGTTAGGCGATAAGTTGAACAAAAGAAACTACGCCAGTTTCTGTGGTTCTAGCTCCCTGCCAATATGGGCTCCCAGTAATTGTTGTCTACTTTAATGTCATACCATTGATGACAACAGTTTAGTTAAATTACCCTAGATCTCTTCTTCTCCTCTTCCTTTTGCTGCCTGCTCACTTTGTAATCCTCCAGTATCGACACCAGTCGTGCCTGCAAATATTGCTATTAAAATTCAAGACAGCGGACATCACAGAAAAACACATCCAAGAACTTTTGTTGCAAAGTAACTCACCCCATCATAAAGGAATAACATCTTTTTCTCATCTTCCCAGGCCAGCGTTTTGTTTATCAAATTGTCAACAATTGCTGGAAAGAGAACTCGTTAGCTCTACCAGTGCTGAATCCTCAGATAAAGAAGTGATTTCTAGAGAAAACAATACCTGGAATTCTGTTTACAGTCACTCTAGCTCGTTCTGCTCGTTTAAGGTTAATGTGAGCACCTCTCCCTGCACTGTACCGGTTCTCATCCTGGAATTCAATAAGAAATTTTCAAAAAAGTGTACAAACTAGAAGCCCTAGTAATCAACCGTGGCATCTTAAAGATGGATTCTTGTCTATGTACAAGAATCAAAGTTAACTTCAGAAGTATGTTAAACAAGATGAAGTGAAGTAGAATAAGTAAAACAGCCAGAGAGAGAGAGAGAGAGAATAAATCATAAATTCCTAAGTATGATTCCCTTCTCGTATCATGAAATGTTGAAAACTACCAGAACTTCTATAAGCTTACTTGATTGTAGTCTTCGAGCCAATTTTCCTCTTCACATGCAAATAGCCACCGATCTATCCTATCCATTATTTCTTTCCGGCTCAGAGCCTCTTCTTTAGCTTTGACTATCTGTGCTTCTATGTTTGCCAGAAGTTCAGATGGATCTACTAGACCTGAACAAAAACAAGATTTTTTATACAAATTCATATATTTTCCTTGCCAATATATTTTAACATAAAAGCATCTAATTAACTGGCTTTAAGACTGCGTGAAGATTCATACCAGAATCTATCAATGCATTTGATTTCTCAGCAGATGTACTTGTATCAGGTTCAATATGAACCATTCTGCACATTTCCTCTAATTCTGACCTCCTTTTCATAACAAGTTCTTTCATTCTGCTTGCTTTCAATTCAGTGAGTCTCTCCACTTCTTCCGATGCCTCTCAAAGAGAAGAGAAGAAAGTTTAATTTCAACTTTCAAAGAATTAAAATGAAAAGATAATGAGATTGCTATCCAACCTGTTCAATAACATCTGTTGAAAGAAAGCCTGGTTCTGCAATTTCTGGTTCTGAATTTCCAAGAATTAAAGTAATTCTTGAAAATTTACTCCTTTCTTCTCTTGATGAGTCCATCAAATTCCAAAGTTCAAGGAGTGACGCTACAATATCTTTTAGCTGCATTTTGTAAAAGGGTTATACTTATGATTCCAAAGTCAGAATCAAAAGATTTTTACAGTAGGATCAGCAATTTACCTTCTGGATTCGAGCTTTCCTTTCTGTTTTCAACTTCTGAATGGTCTGTTCTAGGCCTTCAAATGTGCTATTGCTGATGTTTGTGGACTGTTCTATGCTTGTCCTGTGCAAGCTAGGATCCACTTCACTTACAGTCTGGCCAAAATCCAAGCCAAGCACACCGCAAAGAGAATGAACCTCATTTACACATTCCAAAACCTTATGAAGGCGGTCAGACTGTCAAAACAGAAGTATAATCAACTTATCAGAAAATATAAGAAACTAATGCAATCTACATCAGTGCAAGGCATCTAGTAATGCAAACAATTTCTTATCTATGACAACTTTCTTTTTATCCAACAAATTTTGGTTATAACTTATCAGAATTAACCCACAATGTATTATCAGAAAGTAACAGAGTCACTTCAGCTTCAATTATGTTCAAAGCCAAATATGATCCTTAGCTAACAACAATGGAGCTGTAACCTCCTGGAAATGTCTGCGAATGAGGTCACTATTCTTATTGACACTTCAGACTAAGAATTTTATCAATATTCCCCAACTTTAGCAATCTCGCTAAATTTCATTTGCAGACTTATAACTGCAATTACATGGTAACCATTGAACCAGGGTGTCGCAACTCATTATATTTCAAGCAGCCACTCATAACTTGGAGAGCGAATTCATATCATAATATAATTACCTTCTCTTTTTGAAGAGTGTGAAGATGTGCTTGATATTCAGTTAGCTTTCTCACTGATAGGTCATGTTCATCCAGGGTTAACGAACTGACTGGAGCATTGTTGAGATGGTTGTATCCGGATATCTCCCCACTGATCTTCTCAATTTGCGCCTTTATATCTGAAAATTGCTTCATTCTTTCCTCTTTCTTCACTCTTAGATCTTCCACAAGTGGTGCTACAGATGCAAGTTTCTCTTTCAATGAATTTGATTGCTTCTCCCTCTGTATCTGTAAAATTTAAGAAGAATCGGATGACCAACTTAAAAAAAAATTGGTTTGTACTTTGTTTATGCAAGAAAACCTTGCAGCATATACATCCCACATGAAAACACGTATGTGTATGTGCACATCTACGTAAATGTATGAGACAAAGAATGGAAGCTTCTAAAAGCCTGGGAAACAGATCATGGAAACAGAAAAATTGGAAGAAACAAATGCATCATCAACCAGATAAATTCTATACATGACATTAAGTGATGGGAATCAATTCTACATCACTACCAATTTTGAAACAGTAACTGGAGATGGAATATGATTATTTAGGCACCAAACAGGACGCAATATTTCCTGCCAATTCATGACTTGTTGAAGGAAGTTGAGGTTCCACCCCAAAACCAATTGGCAATGAGAGGAGTAGCCCAACTCCTTATAAACCCAGGCTAGGTCCCTTAACATTTCATTGTGGGACAAACACTCTCAACACTTGCTATCATTCTTGCCTACATCTGATGATCTAGGAATTAAAAACATATAATTCTGGACTGATATATGGAATCACTACTAAACGGAAGCGATGCAGGTTTAAATTGGTAGAGCAGAATTCAAGGAGGAATCAGAACAATGGTCAATAAATCATCATTTCCACCATAACAAAGTTCCAACGGATTCCTTACCGGTGAATCAATATTGAGTTCCCCCAAAGTAGCCACTAGAGTTGCAAGCTCAGCTTCTTTGGCTGCAACAGACTGATGAAGGCGTGCCTTGGCATTGGCAGCTTCATCAACCTTCCTCCTGTAAACATCTAAGCATTCCCTCTCCAACTCCAACAGCATGCGGTCTTGGTCTGCTTTGCTCTCACCAATGTCATTCCATATTTGCTGCACTCATAAGAAAAGGCCAAACACAAAAACAGTTATTGTTGAAATGTGAATCAGTGGATTAAATTATCTTTCTCCTTTGCAACAGGGAGAGATTGGCAAACTTGCAACATATAAGTCACAAACATTTTATTTGACATAGAGTAACCAAATGCTGACAGGTAAATCAAATTGAATCAGAAATTAAAACACCATGCATCCTTCTTTTCCTCCCATGAACTATTCAACATCAAAAATTGCATAGCAGAAACAGATCAGAAAGAAGAAAAAAAATTGAGATGGAGAAAGAAATAATGCTGAACTATGGAAAGTAGAAAATAAAAATCAATAACCTAAATTTCTATCAACTGGTAATAAGAATTGAACATTTAGCAAGAAAAAAAAGTCTAAAACAATCCAAAGTAACCAAACGAAAGTCAAATCTCATAAGGTCATACCCCACTTCGCATGAGGAGAAACCAAACACCAAAAGAGGAAGAGAAACAAGTTAACAGAAAACTGGTCTCAAAAATCCGATTTAAATAAAGATAGCAAAACAAACACATTGTTCTGGAACTTTACAATTCAGGAAGACCCCGTTTTTCAAACGCACAAAAGAAACAAGACAATCAGTACAAAACAGATAACCCATCAAATTTGGCATTATTTTACAAAGAAATTCAAGAAAAATAAAGAAATTGGAGAAATCCAGTTGAAGAAAAAAAAATAGAAATATAACATAAGAAGCCACTAAATTATTCAAACACATGTTTTATAGAAACCATGCTCAATCTACCACAGTAACGAAAAAAGAGAAACTGAGTTTGAAACTATGGTGAACAGATCACCTCCTACGGAACTTTTTAACTCAAAAAAGGTGCAAAGACGTACTTTCTTTTCTACTTCAAATAACCAAAAAAGAGACTAATTTATAGCTCCACTTAGACTCATTATGACACATTTTAGAGAAATAATCAGTGCTTTCTTTTTTATAGAGCAACACAACTTAAAGTTGCTGAAAACCTCATACTGAAAAAAGCAAATTTCCATACAACAGCAGAAGAAGAAGAACCCACACGCTATCTTCCTAGAGAACAAAAAAAAGTTCAAACTTTTACTCTTTAGAAGGAACAAGAAAACAAAACAGAGAAAGACCTGAAGCTCTTTGAGTAAAACATTGCAGTTGGTGCTTGTACGGACTCTGATGGTAGGACTTCCAAGAGCCAGCATTTTCCACAGATCTCTCTCACCTACTTTCTGTTTCTCTCTCTAGAAATTGAAGTAGAAGCAAGTTTCTTGGTGGGCTTTGAAGTACCCAATAAACCAAGAGAACTCAACAAAAATGAAGCAGAGGTTGGAAGATGCAGAGGTCAAATGAAAAGGCTTACAGAAAAGAAAAGCAAGAAGGAAGAGAGTAAAAGAGAGGGGTATTAATAAGTGTTTCTCAAGTCAAAGAGAGACCAAGAGACCAAGACAGACTTGGGCATGTCTCCATTGCCTCGAACAACCTTAGCTCTCCTAGATCTGAAGCCTTCCCTTCAGTCTTTACTACCAAGCTAGTTCCTTTAGCTCTTTTTTTTTTTCTTTTTCAAAATTTTCAAGAAAATGTGAAAGAATGAGAAGAAGCAAAGGATCTCGGAGATGGGCTTTGAACGGAACGGAACATAAAAGAAAAGAAAAAATAAACAACAGAGAGAGGGAGAAATGATTAGGGTAAAGGTTCAGACTTTAGTGAAAGAAAGAGAAAATTATTGGCAAATGGACTTACTATTTAGTAATAAGCAAAAAAGAAAACCAAAAGCAATTATTAAATAACAAAGAAGATGGGTCATCTTCTTTTTTTTTTTTTTGGGTCGAAGAAGATGACCATATATGGGCTTGAGGTTAGACTAAAATGCGGAAGTGTAGCAGGTGGATCTGATCCTGCGCGCGCCACATTAGCCTAAATTATTTCTTGGGTTTCTCTTTTTTTATTTTTTATATGTACTTTAATTCTTCTCTCTTTCTCTCTGGAAGTGACTCATGTGAGACAGTAGGAGGGAGAAAGCAGTGCATCTGTTTCTGCGCGTGGAGTTTAGTTTCCAGACAGAAACAGGAATTGGAAATTCATGGGGCACAGGCGCGTGGTGGCGGGATGAGTGCAAACTCCACAGTGACTCAACTCAGATCATAACAGCTGTGCGTGATGTTAAGTTTTAATCCAGAAAAAAAAAAAAAAAAAAAGAATCTAAAAGATGCTGATATTTGACATTTTAATTCCCTCCTCTTTATTTATTTATGAAATACAGACCTATATAACTTTTGAACTTTCCTTATACACATGAAAATGATATGTAGTTGTATATTGTTTTCTGCAGCTGGTCAGCACCATGGTAATTTCTTTTCTTACAAATAAAATAAAGCAGATGCAATATTGCTGTTGGAAACTTCTTCCTTGATATATATTTAGCTTATAAATTGATGGTTTCCAGACTTCCAGTAATGGGTTCAGAATATTGCTTGAATTACAGGCAAAGAAGAAGGTAAGCAAGCAAGATATTTGAACAAGCACACCTTATCTTTCAAATGTTTATAATGTGGTAAGCTTTACATACACCAGACCAGACCAGTGGGTCACTGTCTTCGAGTAAGACATTCATTCACCCCCGAATTTGCGAATATTTACATCGTACTAGCTTGTTGTACATATAATATGATGGCATATGTACCTGAAGGTAATTCATAATTAACCTATGAGCCTTGCATTGCATCAAATCAAATGGTTTGGTTGCTTATAGGAAAAACAATACATCGATATGGTTGGTATGTCTGTCAGAAACTCAGAAACACAGAAATACTTCCAACGACAGCCTTTATGTACTCGGGTGATTGATTGGTGTGAGTTATTACATTATCATGAGATGGACACACTTGAACTAAGTTCATATACATATATATATTATGAATGCAACCTTTGACATTGGACTAGCTCCAAACTCCAAAAATATAAATAAAAATTCAGCGTTTCTCTGTACAAGCCTAAAAAATGACATAACATATATAAATAATTAAAGCCCATGCGCACGCACGAGTGTGGAAAACGTGAGATTGGTTGGGGCTTTGCATGTGTATTATGCTTGTGTTGTGACTGCTTTGCTGTGGTTTGGTTCAGTGGTTCTTGGATTAGATTTGTCTTCAGAAGATAAAGAACATGTTTTGCCCCAAGAGCAAGAGCCATATTTTATTACTAATAAAAACAACAGGAAATGCATGGGAAAGTTGTAATGTATAAATGAAACCTAGAAAGTACCGGCTTAATGGAGTAGGGATCTAATATATTATCACCTGATCTGCATATCTAATCTAACAAACCAACAATGATTGACGTCTGATCTACCTACATAATTACCAGTTATATATGTCATTAAATAAAATTATCACATATGGCTAAGAATTATTAGTGAGTTTGGTGGATTAGGTTCCAATAATTTAAAATTTAAACGAATCGATTTTAATTAAGTACCTACCACCAGCGACCTTCAAACAAGGCAACAGAACAGTGACAAAGAAACTATAGCTGGATATGAAAATTAAAAATTGGACGACAATGGACCCAACCCAACACTGTTTTTCAATATGGATTGGATTGATTGATCATAACAATGATAGAAAGAAGATGCCATTGCCAATTTGCCATGCCATCTTGTTTATCTCTTTCACCACCAAATTTCTCATGTTACCTTACTGGTCCCTCAGCTCCTACTTGTTTTTCAATTCTCCACCACAGCTATAGCAACTTGATCAATTACTTTTCCAACACTAACACTGATTAATTACTATTCTTTCTTTATACCACTACTCAATCACCCAACCCCTGCTTACACTTTTTGTCTTTGTTTTGAAATGACAAAAAGCAAAAAATAATTATTTCCATCATTTGGTCTGCCGAGATGATATAATATTTAACTTGTTTATATATGTAGCGAGCTGCCCTGCATAATTGCATCATTTTTGAATGCATAGAAAAATCATTAACGTGAGAAATATCTCAAAAACTATCCCATTTTGGGATAATATATCTAGTTCTTGTGTTGAGTGACCTACGCATTTCCTTTTGCAGTGCTCCTACAGCCAGCCCTATTCTGTCTATCCATAACAATTGTCTAGTCTATCTAGTCGATGGTTTCAACGCTGGAGGAGTCCTTGAATAAAATAAGTTAAAGAACGAAAGCGCACCCCACCCACCAAAGAAAAAAAAAGGTTTGTCATTTCGTAAAGGTACGAAAAGTAGGAATAATATAATCCAAGCGATTCTGCCGCTGCCCAAATAAAAGCTTTTCACGTCAGATAGATAGACAGCGAGGAAAAAAGTGCTTAAAAAAGAACATGGAAATGGATCTCAGTGTGGAATCTTGTTATTTTAATACATCCCATCTTTATAATAAAAAATTAGTTCTACCACTTTCGTTAATTAGGCAACGAGAATAGAAACTATATACTTGTAATACAAATATAGAGAGTTGGGTCAGCAGTTCACTGCTAACAATACTGATATTATTTCTAACTTAATTATTTATTAAGTTTAGTATATGTAGGGTTTTACAAAAAGACTAAGTGATATTAGTAGTGAAATCATTTATTATATTTTATTTAGTTAAATTTTCAATATGAGACTTATATTCTTCAACAAACTGTAGTACTGAAGTTGATAAAGAGGTACACTAGTACAGTGTCGAATGATGATGACGGTAATTAGGCTACCAAACAAGTCTTGGGCATTTTCTACGACTTACCACATGGAGACATATTATTATTATTATTATTATTAGTAGGTAAAAGAAAAGAAAAGGAAAGGGAGATTGAAAAAGGAGAAAAAGATAAAACTCATTACAAAAGCCAATTGCGAGCACCTTCCTTGTCCACAGAAAAAGTTGATAAAAATCAGAGCTAGTGCCTGCCATTGAAGAAAATAAAGGAGAAAATGAAAGAGAATTTATCGATTATATGGTTGTTGGGTGGGGAATACAAGTACGATTATGCCCTAAATGAATGTGACTGTGGGGTTAGTTGCTTGGATTTATTAGCCGACACAATTAATGGGAATGTGGCCTTAAACAGCCTTGAGGGCGATGCCCTATACTTGTTTAATTAAGGACTATTTAGAGTCAATTATTATCCATCCATCACTATGATATGACTCCAGCACATACAATACAATTCATTTCTTCAATCAGTCTCATATCACGATAAAACAAAAGAAATATTAGCAACATTCTCTCTAATGTGTGTTCTCACGGCTCGCAATTGTGTTTTGTTTTGTAGCTATCTTTTATTAATCGTTTCATGTTGAAGCCATGGTTGACATGGTATGAAATCAAGATTGAAAACCCAATAAACTCCTTTCTTTATTTTTATTTTCTTTATGAAATAAGTTCGTTTGTTTATTTCATAGGGAATAATGTAGCATATTTAATAGTCTCTGTCATGGTTTTTGGTAGGCATTCACCTACCACATGTAATAGCAGAAATTCATAATTACTTGTTCCTTCCTGAAACAAAGACATTAAAGTGAACCATCATTTTAAGGTTGAGATTCGTACAAGCATGATTGTTAATTGTGGTAATTTCGATAATGAATAGGTATATATGAGATCCCATGTTTCATAGTGTCAACCTCCAAGCGGATATTATTGTCATTATTCGAATTTGGCTGCGGGGAAGCTGTTATATAAAACTGCATCTGCATGAATCATAAGTTCATAGCCAAAAAATAAACGAAAAGAAAAGAGGGACATTATTATAGTGCTACTGCATCATAAGTTCATAACATGAATATATTATGCTCAAATTATGAAGTGTTTTAATTTCAGTGTTTTAATGTAATGTAATATAATATGATTGAAGTTCAAAAGTGATAAACGTTCCAATAAGTTATATTAAATGCACATGGTTTATTGGTATTAAGTCCAATTAGCTACAATCACATGGATTATTCGTATTTAAGTCCAAGCCCACTTGACCTAACGGTATTCTTTACGATTTGCTCATCTTCACAAAACCAAATTATACATAAATATTCAAGTATTTAATCGAAGACTCCACCAAACTCAATATTATAATAGAATACAAATTGAATTGACAAATACAACGCAACGCCTGCTAAAGGGGCTTGGATGGTTCAATTCAATATGGACGAGCAAATCCACAAGGGGACAACTTGACGCGCTATTTTAGCATCTCTCTTGTTTTCAAATGCACCCCCCCCAAACCCCAACAAAGAGAAAGGAAGGAAAAAGTAGGGGCAACTTTACTTCTCGACTGAAATCAACCAAATGGCCGTGTGCGTTTAAAAGTACTTTCTTGTGTGCTAATAGCCTAATATGATGAAGAAAATAAATGCCCCAACACAACACCCTCTTTCTTTACATCTTTTCAACTTTCCTATCCCTTTATCGACCTATATTCGTATTGGATTCCAACACAAGCACTTTCTTTTCTTGTGTGTCGTTTTGTTCATCAACCAAAATTTCAATGCAATATCTCCAAGACTTGATATATAAATTTTTTTGAATTTTTGAACCAGTTGTAAAAGTAGTCAAAGATTTTATGATTTTTAGCTATATTTACCATCAGCAGATGCATGGGGAATGGATAAAGTGCATCCGTCACTTGTGTAGGCTCAACTCAAGCAGGTGAAATCCTATTTGATGTACAAAACCAGACACGTTGCCCTCTTATCAGCCTTGACATTGAGAGAGAAACTTATATCTACCAAGAAACATCCAATACATGCTTAAGAATGTCTCTGACTATCTCTAGAATATCCTCTTCTTCGCATCCTGTTACGAACTTAACTGCATAAGAA